ACGGACGGACGTCCCGCAATAATTCACTCAGTTCGCGTATGTCAAAGGATAATCGATTGCGTAGCGACTGTAAAATTCGCCAGGTGGCAGAAAGGGAATACGAAAGAGAGAGAGAGAGAGAGACAATACAGTACTTATTATTGATCTCTGGTGGTGGTTGTCGGACATCAGAAAGAAAGAAGAAAAACGTTACCTGAACCCCGAGCTAATTGTTTTTTTCCCTGCTTTTTTGTTCTTTGTTTTCTCACCGATGATGAATATTACTGAAGTTTTCGAGGTGTCTAATTTAAGACCTAAGCGTTCGCAGCAGCTTCCAGTATGGATGACGATGGGTAGGTAACTCTAAACCGTCAAACCCTCGAGGGTCGAATTTGCATGGAACTTTTTGCCAGTATTAAATCAAGCTGAAAACTGCGTTAAACGATGAATTTGGGCAGGTCATCGAACTATCACACTCTGAAAACGAACTGGGAAAGGTGCACCATCCAAATATTTATTAGGAACAACCTGGAATTTCAGTGGGCATAGATGGATACGTGTTTTGGATCGTTTTTGCCTTAGTTAAACGAGCTTATAGACATTGTACCATTTTGTAACAATAATATTTCAGTGGGTATAGAGGGATACGTGTTTTGGATCGTTTTTGCCTTAGTTAAACGAGCTTATAGACATTGTACCATTTTGTAACAATAATATTTCAGTGGGCATAGATGGATACGTGTTTTGGATCGTTTTTGCCTTAGTTAAATGAGCTTATAGACATTGTACCATTTTGTAGCAATAATAATCTAACGAAAAGTAAAAGTTGGTGGTCGTAAACGTTAATAACAACACCGTAAACAGCGGAATTCTTTGAGGGAGATTTATCGTCTGCGCGGTCGACTTCGTACATAAATTTAGTTCAACCCCCGCCCGTTGACGATAGCATCGGTAGGGTTTGATTACCCGTGGTGGCCCTCCAAGTCACTTCCGGCGCGGGAACGGGCCCGTTTTATGCGAACGCCATTAGCAGATATAGGAAATTTATGGCGCTACTAAAAGAACCGTTTTCGTTACGATTTTTCACGTGTAAGGCACCACCACCACCACACGACCGAACAAATCGATAAAATATATATAAGTATAAAAAAAAATGTGAATTTGCGTCAACATTGTTTCCACCATCGACATAAGTCGCCGAAGGAATTTATATGAGCGTAGATAATTGTTGACGGATGAACCCACCCACAGGGTCATTTTTGGCAGACGTTCGTTCTTTTTTTTTTTTTGGAGAATACTCGAGATCCTTTGGACCGGTCTTAATGAAATTTGTTCGTTTAAGTCTCTTTGCGTATAGTTTCGCGAATAGTGCCATTCATGCTGAAAATTCGGCTCCTGTGCACGTTTACGAAACGACGACGCGGCTGAGCGAAATGTGTGGACAGCAAGTAAGCAGGTCTTATTAAAAAAGACCGGGGGTCCAAGGCATCGAGTTTCACTATTTTGCCGTGTTGTGTTACAGTTTTTGCGCCAAAGACCGAAGATACCGCGCTTTTAGTTTTTAGGTCAACTGACCGCGCTGCCGCCGAACAACACAGAGGTTACAATATTACATTTCGTTTTATTTTTAGTACCCGCCTATCTGCATACCGCTTGTCTGTCATATTAACAACTGCCAACGGTAGCAATTGTTCTTGGTCCTTCGAGCCGGACAGAAATAAAAAAGAGAAATCTACACGAATAATCGCTTGCGTAGGTATAATTTTTAGTTTTTTTTTTTTCGACATGTGAACCACATTAACCTTTCTACATTTCCATTATTAATAACAGCCATAAATCGTGTCGTACGCCCCGGCAGGTATAGGTAGGCAGGGGTTGATTTTTAGGGTGCGCATGAGGTTCTGACTAATAAACTGTTCCGACGACGGCGACCAGGACGACGCCGGTGCCTCTGCTCGACGACACCGACGCACCCTGAAGATGGATTGCCCCTGTAACGTAGAAGAAGAAGGGCCTTTCGGAAACGAAACAGCTGCACACGTAGGATCGTTCCGTCTGCTATTTCGAACCAGGTGAAATAACGGAATCAACCGGCCGAGACACCCCAGTTCATTTAATAATTTCAACTAATAATATACCTCTTATCACTGCACACAGCATGTCTCGTCAAAAAATCACTAGGGACAGGACAGGACTCTAGATACTACAAGGATAATGAAAATGCATCGACTTCTATTTGTAATGCAAAGATGCTCACGTGGAGGTGAAAGGGGTTTTGTATTAGTGTAGGGGAGCTTATCCAAGTGATTAGTTATTGAACAGTTCAATTGTTTAATTTGTTTATTCTATAGCAAGTATAGAACATAGCCTTCTAGTATAAGTTTTGACCAATTGCTTCGTGGTCCTTCGAGCCGGATGGATAATTTATAAAAATTGCCATCGATAAATATGAGTTTTGACCAATTGTTTCGTGGTCCTTCGAGCCGGGTTGATAATTTATAAAAATTGCCATCGATAAATATGAGTTTTGACCAATCGTTTCGTGGTCCTTCGAGCCGGATGGGTAATTTATAAAAATTGCCATCAATAAAAAGTTACCGTTCTTCTTGCGTGTTGGACGTTAGCAAATGATCTTTTAACACATACTAAATTACACGAGCTATTAGAGGCAAAATTATAATTACACTTTTTTCCTTACAATTACCGGCATCAAGTCGACGTGGAGTCGTTAAGGAACGCGTTTACATAAGGGAGAATTTCATTACCCGGCCCACTACCAACGTTGGTCGATATTACTTACGTATTACATATTTCGGTCTCTTGTTCTATTCCTATTTCACTTAATACGAGGCGTATTGGTACCAAATTTAGATAAACCTTTTATCGTCAAAATTTAGAAACGATTTGTGACTCTTCTTATTAATTATACATAATTTTATTGCGATTAAACTCAGCGAGCCGGTGTACTTGAAAATAGTCAGATTTCTTTGGGTATCCGCCGTTCGTGTTCTACAACGTTGTGATCGATATGTTTTTAAATCTTCAACGTTTATCGAATGGAAGTCGGGGATGGCGTGTTCGCGATTTCATAAGCATCGTTGAATTAATAAATAATGTATTAGGCCAAAGTTGATAAGGTTAATTGCTCAGCCACCGGGTTATTTTCGCTAATGTATAGTCAGTATCGGTACCGTTCCCGGAAAAAGGACTTACCCGCGACTCCAGGAAGCAATGAAAAATGTTCCGTTTTCTTATTTCCTCCGACAGTTACCATAGGCATTTATTTGTTCCACACACACACACACACACACACGCACACACACACGCATCTAATGTGTAAATAAGAATAACAATTTTAGAAAATACTACAAATGGCGCAGTAAACGCCATCTGTAGCACGATGCTACATTTTACGATTACGTATGCTGTCGGAGCTGCCTGCGACGCGCTGATGAGATCCAAAATGATCGAAATCGCGATTTGCGTCTGACAGTTTGTTAATAAAGCTATTATCTATCTATCTATCTATCACAAATTAATGCAGTGAACTATTGGGTACAACTAACTTTTACAATATGTATTATCTAAACATTAATTAAATCCTTGCGCGTGTCGAAATTATCCCAGAAACTATATTTCCCACCCCTTTTGTGAGTAAGTAAGGAAGGGTTGTATGGGATTTATGTGACCCTACGACCGGATCTATCGTCCCGAGCCTATGCCTTATTACTTCGCCTTTAATCAATTTATTTGTGAGAAGATTTTTCCAAAACGGTTCATTGTTTCTGTTATTCTAATAACGTAGCCACTCGACGTGCTAGATAATTATTTAAGAGATGAAATCAGCCCTTAGGGAACGAACGTCAGCTGTTACCATTCCATTTTATGTCAGTTGGTACGTTCGGTATTTTCAAATAATACCAGCGCAGCAGCGAATAAACAACGAATACGTTTTGGGGTTCGTCTATAAATGAGATACCTATCAAAGAGATAATAAAATAGATTAAAACGAAGTTTCAGGTAAAAATTATTTAAAGAATCTTGAACTTGTTAATTCAAGAGGGTGGTGGATCCCATAATTGACGAAAGTTTTGGGGTTTAGAGGTAGAAAAGCAATCTTCAAGTATCTATCGTTGTTGAATTAATTCACTCATAATCAGATTGCTAAAAAGTGACCATTATTGCTATGAATTTGTCAATTCATTCGAAAGTTACATTGTTATCTATTACTTAAGTGTATGTTGATGTTACTATGTATTGGTTGAATGTTTACCCACCCCTGAGCAAAAAATGGTCATTTTAGGTCACCGATGGTCGGTCTGGCAGCAGTTAGAGTTAGACAGACATCTAGTGAGTGATATACATGTAATTAACTGATTGTAACAGAACGAACGTGGAATTGGGGGGCACAACGAGTAATTAGCTCTTATCGGGGTGATTACCCTCTGTTGAAAAAAAAAACTAATTCCGCATTCGACATATATATTCATAAGCTCATATACCTTTCGCCGAAATAAATATGGGTAAAAACTGAAAGAGTTCAGAGTAATAAATGGGGTGGAAACAACCGACCCGTGTCGTGGGGGCATAATTAGGTCTCATTCGTTATTTTGTCGCGTTTTTCTTTGTACATGTGCATTGCAAATATTGCTAGAATGTGCAACATTGTCATTGGCATGTACCTATACTGATAATATTAAAATATAATGTGTGGGGGTGTACGTACAATTAAATTAATGAAACGGGTGCGCCTGCATTTTCGTAATTAATTGTGACAATTTTTATTGTTTATTTGTTAGCCGCATTCGAATTATTTGTGCAACAATATACGTAATAAGTGTAATTAATAAAACGGCATATCGTGAGGCTGTTAGTTAATAAGAATTCAAAATTACAATAATAACGAAGAAAACGAGTAAGAACAAGAAGGGAACGTTAAATTCGCCAAAGTAAAATCTGGATTAAATAACAACCTGTAATCAAAAAGTAATTAAGTTGGACAGGAAAATTGAAGGGCCTACCTTGAAAGTAGCTTTTGGTTCGGAGGTAGCTGACTGAGAGCCGTAGAATAGAAAGTCGGTCCAATTTTGAAAGAATATTTTGTTCGAACGGTAAAAGACTCGCTAAAGTGTCTAATTCGGCGTTTAGACGTTCTCGATGTCTTTTGCTCGGATTGCTCTTCGTTATGCCATCTTTTGGCGTTGGTTTCATACTAAAACAGAAACAAGAAACAATTAGCATTTGTTTGTGTTCCTTAAGTCTTTACTTAACTCGACTCGTCGGCCACTGAAGATTACTAAATTACGTTATGTTTTTTACTTTCCAAAATGACTCTACCTCCCTGTTATCGTTTCCTTTCTAATTTTCTGTAAATAATTTCTTCCCTCATTTGAACGTTATCAAACGAATTAACGTGAAAGAAGGAAGTATAAATATATTTTAAATTGGTTTGTGCTCGTTTTTTATGTAGATGTTCGATAAAGCGGCATGTCGGTGAATTTTATGGAGTTTTAATGCACGTAGAAGGTGGGACAACTCCCCCTGTGGGGTGCAATTAGTGCTGCTTGTCTTAGATGATGATAAATGATGGAGAACTCCGGCAGAAAACAAACTCAAATTGAATAAAACCATTAATTGGTTGCTTGAGTACACCATAAACAACCTGTTTAGCATTATGTTCATCTGTTACAAAACAATAATTACCGACAGGAAAAAAAATGAAAACAAATGTAATAAAACAGAGTGATCCGTCGAAAAAACAAAAACAAGAAAAAAAAAAGGAAGTCAAGGTTGTGTGCTGTACTTTTGTTTGTTAGCTAAGTATTTTAAATCCTCCGATGCGTCGTACGTAAGTAAATAAATACTGTAACTATAATTAATTCTAAAAGCAATAATTGGTCTACGTCACACTGAAATGCCGACTCGTATCTGCAAGCGTTTCTTGTGAAATTTCAGTTGTTTTGAAGGCGTTGGTAATTACAGGTTTTCCACAACTCTGTGTAATTAAAAAATATTATCCAAATCTTTTGGAACAAAAGAAGTACGTAGATGTAAAGATCTATGTAAATGTCAGCTTGCCGTTTTGGATTACGATACGAATCCAAAATTATAGATCTTCTAATCGATTCTATGTGACCATATTCGACTTAATGTATGTACTTTATTGATTTTAAACGTGTATCAAATATTCGTAGTGAATTATCAAAAAAATTTGGCATTACGTAAACGTTAGAAATGTATTAATCCCTTTGTAGTGCAATATAATGTAGCGAGCACGAGTGTGTTTGTGTGCGATCGGGCACACGTGTGTGTGAGCTGCTTATCGATTCGCCGACTAGCCGCGGGCGCCTTTCTTCATGTGCGCCGTATTTGTAAATGTGTGTGTCGTACCTGCGTTCCTGGAAAACAGTTGAACAGATCAAAGAAAACGAAACTTTTCCGGACGTTTCGAGAAGGTTCCCGAAAGTAAACAAAAGAATATTTAAAGAAAGAGACGATCGCCAAGGGAGGAGAAATAAATTTACTGTTGCAGAAGTGAATAGTGATATATCAACAGTAGTGTAAACAAATAGAATAATCCATCACCTATGTTTAGTAATAATTTAATAATGTTTTTAAGTTGTTTAATAATTAGAGTAAATAAATAGTTTTGTCGTTATCAGTTAATTTTGTTAAATAATTTGCAAAAATGCTGCAGCATCAGTTTGATCGGTCCTCAAACACAGATTAGAGTCTTAATTACTTTTAAAATTGAGTGGGCGCGTTACCAAACGGTGTGAATAAGGAAAGTGAAGAAAAATAAAATAAAGGAGTGTATATTTCAACTCATCCCAATTAACAAAACCAGTCTGTAAGTTATCTGAGGAGAGGGTTGGGAATTAGCATATCTGTCTGGAGACTCTGACAACGACTCGACATCTCAATTTGGCCCGAACGAACCAAGAAGAAAATGTACGACCTCTGATTTGGATTCGTAACAGTAGCAGCAAAGTAATATGTATCAGTCCTGTCGCAGGACATGTTCACAGCCGAAGGACAACGCTACTCCTTATATCTCAGCATATCTAAGCGTTGAAATGTACAACCTGAGTTTAAAGAATCATTTGTTTTTCTTTCTTCTACTTGTTTTCTACGTAAATTTTGTTTGTTGCACGTTAACTAACAATTACTAAGTTATTAATTTATTTATTCGTTTATTTAAACGACGGATTTATGTAATTAGAGATAGGCAAAATGATTTTTTAAAAATATTTATATAGAAAACGCAAATACTTTTTTGATTTTTTATTTCAAATGTAAAACACTAAATAGATTTCCCTTTTGTGTTTTAAATGCGAAATGCAAAATACGTATTTTCGAAACACTTTTTCCAAGTAAATACTTTTTTGTAGTATCTATTTAATTTTCCACATTTAGTTAAGAAAACCTTGCAGGTATTTTCTCATTTTTTAAATATCGTAGTTTTTTAGACTAATAGTGGTATTCGCACTATAACACCAGCTGCGAAAATTGAATATGATCCATATTTTTCTGTTTCAAGTGATTGAAATAAAGTTTTTCTATCTTTATGTTATAGTTTCTTCAGTTCAACAAGAAATAATTCCTCTAAATGCTTTCTTGTTTACCTGTATAATTTGATAAAAGACACTGATGCCAAAATAGTCTGTTTACCATGAAATATCAGAACCAAAATAGGGTTGGAAAAATAATTTTATTGATGTAAAATCAACATCAATCATTTTATATCAAAATATTTACAACTCCTTTGTGATTCTGATATTTTACACATTGTAATAGGAGAAAGAAATGGAATCCATCGTTTGTTTAGCTTTGGGTTCATCTAAAAAGTGATGTTTTTCGAATCGTTTTCTAAGAATTTTGGATTATAGGCATTTATTAACACACCACAATATCTTGTAGTTTTCAGTTTTACACAGCTGGCGTAAATCAATTCGATATTGTTTTGGGGACTGTTTTGTCGTAATTCATAGAATTTCGTAGTTTCTTGCTAAAAGTACGATAAGTGATGATTTGACATGTGCTGATATCAATGTAGAACTTCAAAATTCCATGGACTATGACATTGAACCCGAAAAACAATATCGATCCAATATTTTAGATTATCTATTTCCAAGGAGTTTAGAATTTTTTGAGTTAAAATACAAAACGCTTTTTCTCAAAAAAGTATTTAAATGCAAGATAAAAATAAGTATTTTGTCTATGCAAGTATTTCAAATAAATCACATCTCTGATTGTAATTATAAATATACATATCAACAGCATTTTTGATTACATTAATCTAGAATATTTTCATTTCATTATTATTGATGCGATGTTTGAATTGTTATTATTTTAATGGGAAAATTATTATTGCAGAAATAAGCAATATATCAAGTGGCGACTTCCTGTTACAAATCATGCATTCAAAGTGCTATCATATTTGCTACTCATTAGGCCAATCACTATGGACAAATGAAGTTGTAAATGTATGATCAAATTGACATAAGTTAATATAAAATTTATCGCGTCTTGTCACGACAGCACACAGTATATCATCGTAAAACCTGGGAACAATTTGTTTCAATAAAGATAAACATGCGTTCAGAAATTGGAAAATTATATTACAGAAAAGCTAAGCCTTTTTACGAAAATTCGTATCGGGAAAGAACAATGCCGTCGGTACTTCGGACAATACCAATAATGCAAAAGTAAATTAAACAAATTTGATACAACTTCTTGGTTATATCGTTATTATTATGCATGTTACTGTAGATGTAATAGGAATAAATTAAATGAAACTTATTAGCATAGCTGTATATGTTAAATGAAACTAATGTCCTATGTCGACGCATTATTTAAATGGAAACTGACTTAAGGAATTTAGTTTTCTAATTTAGTATGTTGTAAGATATTAAATGGGAAATAAATTAAGAACATACGGCGAATGGAAATTATACCACAATAAATCGCTTACTGTTTTTACTTATGCAAAAAATTCTGATCGCCCTGTATATTTTCACAAATTAATTACCTACTAGAAGAATATTTGAGGAGATCTAACTCAGTAAGGCAGTGGTTTCCAACCTGTGGGCGCGAGACTGTTGCAAGGGGGGCATGCAGCTGTTTCCAAGTACGAATTTTCGAATACAAACCAAAAAAAGCTAAAACATCCATCCATTTTATCTATATTTTTACATAATATTGTATATTATTCTGTAGCCCATTAAATAAATTATAATATCAGTTCAGTATTTATGAAATTGGATTGTTACAAAGGGGGTGCAACAATTTTTTTTTCTTTAAAGGGGGCGCAGGTATGAAAATGTTGGAAACCACCGCGGTAAGGAGTCACATTTTGTCTAGGTAAATGATCGGGGTTAAATCTTCACAATTAGATTCCAATATTTTCCACTTCAACTGTTTCCTATTATTTATTAATGGATCGCCCTGTGTATGCGTATGTTTTAGAAATGTACAATCGAAAAGAAAACAGTGTTTGACTGTGAATGGTGTTCGCAGTTCTCACGAAGAAACGGCATCATTAGGCGCAACCAGGGCAACGCAGCACAGTCGAAATTATAAAGAAATTTGGGGTTCAGTGGATGTATAATACTGTATTTCCTAACTATTTTGTAATGACAGGCTGCGTCTGTTTCATGATTAGACCTCTGAGGCCACCGGCTATCTTTTGCCTCTTCTTTCTCCAGTGCGTATGATAATAAACGTATGTACCTACAGGATGTCCCAAATGGTATCTCTAGAATTCAATAGAATCTCGAATGTGAACATGAATTAAGTTACAAGGAAAATTACAACTGAGGGAATGACGAAACTGATATGGGAAATGAAAACGAGTTTAAAAATTGCTCCTAGAGACGTATCTGCACTCCCCTGCTAGATGAAAAAATTGGTGAAAGTGGAGAAAATCCTAAAGTGACAAGTCAATTCACATTTACAGAGTATGAGTTCTTGGGCCCAATTTATCGGGACGTTAATCTCGGTTTTAATCAACCAAGTTGTCTATGGTGTAATATTTACAACCGCATTTTGTTTCCTATCTTTTACACACTGTAATAAGTGAAAGAAATGGAATCCAGAGTTTGTTTAGCTTTGGGTTCATCTAATTAGAGAAGTTTTTCGAATCGTTTTCTAAGAATTTTTGATTATACGTATTTATTAGCACACCACAATATCTTGAAGTTTTCAGTTTTA